AAAGTATCGACTTTCGCGCCAACGGTTTGGGCGAAGAGGGAGAGACAGTGATTCGAGATGCGGTGAGCGGACGGGAAGGGTTCAAGCTCGATATGTGAGTGGGCTGCTGGGCTCTGACAGCGGAGGGGCGCAGGGTGCATGACATCGGACTGTCTTGTCTATGGCGCTTTTGGCGATGTGCTGAGGGTATGTGGCCCTTCTCAGGGCGTGCGTTGCGCCGTGCCGACGTCGGATCGCGGAAATCGCCCGTCTCTCTTGGTTTCTTGATGCCCGTATGCTTGAGCACTTGAGCACTTGATAGGGCCGATTCCGCATGGTACGGGACCCCTCGATCGTCTCGCCCACCCTCACTGGTGTGTTCATTGGGGGGGGTCATAACAAACACGGTACAGGATCGAGGTGCACGCTGCAGAAGCAGTGTCGTCCCCCCTCTCCCCGACGGCTTCTTAAAATGCCCCGCAACCGCCACTGCGTACGCGCTGAGAGAACAGAGAAGCTATCAAGTACAACTGAAGACAGACAACAACAAGTCACAACAAGTCACAAGAGACAACAACGACAACAACGTGTTAGAGTTGTTCGGTTTCGTCGCCAAGCAAGACGGTTACTCGATCGCTACCGGCTACGTGACTGTTCGACGTCGTCGAACACAACGTTCGACCATGGCACTATTCACAGCGCGCGCGGACGGCCGTTCTGCGACTCCCGCTCAACTGGACTGTCGTAAAGCACGCTTGGGGCAAGTTACAGACGCTAGTATCGACCTCAGAGACCCAAACCCCCTAATTAATAATTAAGGCTGAAAGTATGGTCGAACAACCGTCGAACAAACAGGTCGAACAACGAAAAGAGACTAGTGCGACCGCTAGACGGCGGCCGCGCCGACACCGGAGGCAACCCCGGCTCCGTTGGAGACAAGTTCGCCTTCGGCAACACCGAAGAGCGCGCCCGCCTTGCAAACATGGGCTGCAAGCAACGCGGGTTCCGTGGTCAACGGGCGTTCGACCACACCACCGGCCAAGGCTACGTCAAGTCACAGCGTGGCCACTACCATGATGGGATCTTCACCAAACGAAACAAGTTCAACCTGCTTCTCCACGAGACATTCGGCGGCGGCTTCTCGCCGCCAGCAGTTGCAAAGATCAACCGCCTTGCGCGCAAGGCTCAACGCTCGGGCGTTGACCGCACCGCGTACCCTCCCCACTCTCCCGCCTCTCATTTGTGTCACACCACGCGGAACGCATCTCCATCGCTTCGGTGAAGGGGGTGAACCGTGCCATCCTCGATCGCCGTGCAAAGCTCGCTTCCGAGCTCTCACGCCGCGCGTAGGGCCCTTAGGGGCCTCTAGAGAACACAACCCTCTCTCTCTTTTCTCCCACAGTAAGCTAAAAGTACGTACAGAATCGATACTTGGTACGTCTTCTGAATCGCTCGTGGCGAGGAGCTACGGCCATTCTCCACTTGTGTTCGACGACGTCGTACATTGTAATGACTAATGTTCGACGTCGAACGTCGTCGAACGTCGAACACGATCGAGTATACGACCGAAGAGACATGTTCAAGACAACACACATCGCTGACGAGAAGGGCTGCGCGGGGAGCAAGCCCGGCGTCTACACCGACGTCGAGTACTTCCGCGCGTGGATATGCGAGACGATGGAGGAGAACACCAGAGGCGGAGATGACTCCCTCCATCAGCTTTCATTTTTGTTGCGTTTCTCCGCCGGGTTTGTACCAGCGCGGTGCCCGCCGGTTGTACCAGCGCCGCGCGCACACAGCCCGAACCTTTTGTAGCCCCAGTAGACTTAATGGCGAAGCGCAGGCGCGGCGACGGCGCTCCAATCACAAGCGACGACCTCTATCCGGCGGCGTGCGTCTCCGCAAGCTGCCAAGCGCTTCAGCAGGAAGTTGATGCTGCGCTCGACTGCACAATCAGCACCTCCTTGAGCTCTCTGAACTCGCTGGCGTGCGCCCTCGCCGAGGCCGGGGAGACGGCGGCGCTGGTGCGTGTCTGGGACGCGCTAGGCGGCAGCAAGGGTGCGTCGCCCGCGACATGGCTCGCTGTCGAAGCGTTGCACGCCCGGCCGAAGCACCTCCTCCCGGGATCCGGGGCGCTTCGGCTTCCGGCGCAATCCGTCCGGGCGCTGCCTCCCGCGCGGCGGCTGCATAAGATCTGCAAGGGCAGGCGGATGTCGGCGCGCAGTGCCGGGGCGCAGGAACACGTCGCAAACGGGCTGGCGTGGGTGGCCGCTCAGCGCGCTGCCGGGCGCTCGCTCGAGGCGGGCGGCGGGCGGGCGCGCTCGTTGCTGGCCAAGGAGCTGCGAAAGGCCCTCGGCATCAACCTCGAGATCGCACGGGGGCTCGTGACGACGCTCAAGAGGAAGAAGGTTCTGTGAAACCGGGCGCACGAAACCAGTACAATCCATGCAGAGAACAAGTGAAGTCTGTGAAGAGGGTCACAGCTCACACGAAACGGCAAGGACAGAGTGACACACGACAGACACACCGCGTGAAGTCCGAAGACCGTGCCCGCTCGAGGCTCGTTGTGCGAGTATATGGGACACGATGTCTCAAATATGAGAGGTTTTGACTCCTACCGGCTCCTGACGCTATCCCTGGCAGCTCTAATGACCAGGATCAGTAGTGCTATGATAGAGGGTGCCCATACTAGCGCAGGAGCTGCCACACTCGCCCGGACCGGCTCCCTCTGGGGCCGGTTCCGCAGCCCGTGAGAGCCGACAGCGGGGCCGTGCCGCGGGTGCCTACTGCCGAGTGCCACAAACACTGCGCCGTCCCGCCATCACCTACAGGCTGTCTTGTGTGATGGTTGGGATGTCCAAACGCCACCATCTTGGCTCTTGCGACCTCAAACCCGCGAGCTGTATGGGTGGTCCTGACGTCGACAGACGCCCGATGACCACGGTGAAGCTGAGCCGTAACGAGTCGACAAGTCTCGTCTGAGCCCGTGGCGGTCGCCGGCTGAGTCGCTGTGCACGGGCCGGTACCTCAGGCGTCACCTCCGCAGCCTCAGGTCTCACACTCCATCACCTCCGCCGGGACGCCGTCGGTGGCACGCTCGGCGGCGACTTTGTTGCAGCCCCACAGCGAGCGCGGCGTCGAGCCCACTCGGTCTGGTCGGTCGGCCGCACTCCCTGGGTGCCAGGGAGTGCGGCCGACACGCGAGCGGTGCTTCCTGGCAGCGCGCGCCGGCTGTGGGGCTGCAACAAACTGAGACACGCTTTTTGGGACATTTTCGACGCTTTTGTCCCATATACTCGCACTAGTGGGGGACCTGCGGCGGACCCGCCTCTGTTGTTCGCGGGCAGTGAGAGACGCAGGATCTGCACGCCAAAGTGGGGCCACTCCGCATTTTCATTTTGGTTTTGGGTTGTCGGAGATCATCCATCAGCACTCATAAGTCAGTCAAAGCTCAGTCGTGGCAGCTGGCACGTGAGCAGAGTCGCTGCATGCAACGGCGCCGCCACACGCTCCGGACGACCGACACACCGACACACCACGCACAATAGGAGGCTATCGCGCACGATCGGCCATCGCACCCACCGCAAACACCTCGCCGCACAGATGGGGGGAGGCATAATCCCACACACACCGGAGCAGCGCAGACACCTTACACGTCAGCGCTCGCTCGATGTGGCCGGCGCTCTCCCCTCTCCTATCGCCTTTTCGACGGCGGCGTGCGGCCACGCGCCGCGCCGAGCCGGTCTCGGCGGGAGACCTCGGAGCCGCACGCGATGCGGGCATGCGCGATGGCTCCGTTGGCTCCGTGCCTAAGGCAGATAGATTAGGGTGTGAGCTGCGGCAGCCACCGTTTCTGTACCTCGATCACGTGCAGGCCGTCGGAGGCCGCGCTGGATGGCCCAGGGCCGGCGGCGGTGAAGGCGTCCGTCGATGAAGGGATGTCGTCGAGGGAGCCATCGTCCTCCGCGGCTGGTGCACCGGTCCAGTTGTCAGAGTTCGAGATCGCCGTCGACTTGGAGAGTTCGGCCCGTTGACGAACTCACGGAATGTGAGCGACTTGGTGCACGCTGATAGTCGAGCATCATGGCTCGCACCTCATCCTGAGCGCAAGGAACTCGCCCAGGGGCCAGCTGTTGGCGTCGCCGTTTTGATCGAGCTGCATCCACTGCATGGTTTCGTAGTCAAGCGTAAACGCCCAGGAGTTGGTGCCTGGGTGACTTGCTGATGAGAGCGCCTTCCAGGCGGGTAGTCGTGCCCCTCACCTAAGGTCATACGGCGGCGTCAGAAGGGGGGGAGGGGCGCGAAGCGTGAACATGGAGGCAAGCAGGTGTGGTGGCTGCACCTGGCCAAAGCCGACGACCTCAAAGTTTTCGTAGGTTGTGCGGGTATTGCTGAGCGTGAGAGGGACCGGATCGGCAGCAGCGCGGGCGGCAGCGGCCGGAGAGGTCGGAGAGCCGTCCGACGGAGGCCGGTCGTGCATCGGCGCGTCGGCCGCAGGGGCCGGGGGGGGCGGCGGCATCCATCGCTGCGGGTCGCTGCCGGCCGACGATTGTGGACTGATCGATCGTCGGCGGGCGGATTTCGGCTGGGACGTTCTACGTTAAAAGAGCGTCGGCGCGGACACGAGAGACTTATAAGGGTAGACAACATGCCTCGAGCGAGAAGTGCGTAGAGAGTTCCCCTTCTCTGGCCTATCGCGACACGAAAGCGACGATTTTTTTTCACCCGCGCCAATAAATAAATAAATAAAAACGGACACCTCTCTACTGTGAGGTGGGTAAAAAAAAGAACAGGTCCCCGCCCTTGCGATCTTTGTGCAGGATCGTGTGAACCGGTTCGATTTTTATCTCACTATTTGAGTGGACGCTAGAGAGATCCCGCCGCGCAGTGTCAATCGGGACAGTCTCGGCAATCGCACTCTGGCGTGTGTGTGCAAGTCGCAAGAGGAGGAGCTGTGCTCCCTGATGGGCGCGGCCTGCCCCTGCCCAAGGCGCTCGCGACAGATGCATTTTCGCAGCAGTTTAGCTCGCGACGAGGAAAATGGCGAGGCCGAGGGTGCCCGCGGCAGCGACACCAGCGAAGGCCGCCTCGACGCCGGAGAGACCGCTCGCGCCCTCAAAGTCAAAAAAGCTGGCGAGCCCCTGATCGCCCGTCTTTGGCGTTGGACCCTGGAAGAACTGGTACCCTTCTCCCTTGACGGTCGAAGTGCGCGGGACCCAGTTGGTGCCCGTCTCCAGCCGCGCCTTTCGCTCATCAGGCGAGTATTGGGGATCGAACTGCTCCAGGAAGGTTCCTTTCGTCGACCGCTGCTCTGTCGGCCGTGACTCTTTCTTGCCAAAACCAAAGAAAGCCGCCGGCGCTGGCGCCCGGACTGCCATCGGCGCGGGTGCGCGGGGCGCCGAGAGCTGCAGCGCGACCGAGCCGCTGCACGAGATGAGGAGAAAGAGAGGCAGGTGATGCATCGGCACGGTTCGACGCAGCTGGCCGTCTAGCGAGGTCGTCGCGGAAAAAAAGGCTCGCGAAGTTGTCGTAAGAGAAAGCGGAAGAAGAAAACCAAAACAAAGGACTCTCCTCAGACAAGCGATCCCACGAGCCTACATGATCCGTACATGAAGGGTGGAGGGGCCCGTCCGCGGAGCTAGGCGGCACGGGCACCCACAGCCCCACTGACTGGGGCCAGCGTAAGAAGCCGTTTGCCGTTTGCTTGTTCTTGACGGCGTCGTTGACCAATTGGCACGCTCAGGGGAGTTGCCCAGTTGATACGCATCTTGCGCGCCTGCTTGTTGATGTTGTCGGCGTCGCCCGCCACCGCCGCCATGGAGACGATCTGTCTGCTGCGTGTGGTGGACGACAAAGGAGGAGGCGCTCGCCGACGCCGCCCCATACACCGTCCGGGTCCGTGTTTGTTGGTGCCCACCGCTTCCTTGGCGAACACGTGGAGGAACTGCTTTGGGCGGCGCGATGCCACCCAAAGTTTCCACGAGCACCAGCCGCGTTATGGCTTTCTTGACCCACTTCGCGTCGTAGTACTGCGCCCCCCCGTCCACTTCCAGCCTGCATCCGTCTTGATCCATCCCTTTCCATACGCGTGGTCTTTGACCCATCCCTTTCCAGTCGAGTGATCGAGCGGTCCGTCCACCTGACGGCCACGCTCCGTAGCACCCCACGCCCCCCCGTCAACGCCTTTTCTAGCGTGTTTCCAAACCCGTAGAGGTGGCCCGCCGACGCCACAGTGCCACCATTTTCCCACGAGCCCGCCCGCCCCGCCGTCGTCGACTTGATGAGAGCGGGGAGGCACTTGACCTCGTAAGAGCGGCCGCACATTGCTCGGTACCCCCCTGCACTTCTAAGCCCGTCCCTGCTGCTAGGGGGGGGGGGGGGGTGTCTGACCCCCCCAGCAGCAAAACTCTGCTGCTTGGGGGGGGGGGGGGGGGGCAATCCCCCCCCCACAGGAAAAAAAACTGGGACCCGGTTCCCCCTTTTTTGCCCCCCCCCCCCCCTGGGGGGGCCCTCCCGAACCCCCTTTGTTTTTTGGAAGGTCCCCCCCCCCACAAAAACCCAAAAATGGGGGGGTTT